CCAAACACCCCTGTGATACCTATGGCCCTCTCTGTGATGTGATGATTTTCATTTTACCACCTTCATCTCTGAAGTGCATATTATTCCTGGTCACCTGTGAGACATTCCTCTTGACCGGGTCATCTGCCTCATACTGAATGTGTTCAAATCAAAGTCAGAATCTTACCCACCCTGCCATTTGTGTCCCCCTACATATCATGGCTGTCCACTGGTTACCCAAACCAGAATCCTAAGAGAGACTGTTTTCTTTTGTATTCCCTATAACCAGTTAGTCGTCAAGTCCTGCAGTTCTGTCTCCTAAATCTCCATCAGACCCATCCTTCTATATACCTACCATAGCCTCAATAACTGATTTCACTTGGTCAGTCTTGTCCTTTAGTCCATTCCTCACAATGGATAGGCATGATATTTTCCTCCAGTGGGTCTTCATCATGCTGAGAATAAAGTCCTAAATTTCTGAACATGGCTAGTGAAGCCATATGTGATTTAGTTAATTCTTACTTGCTGTCTCTCTCACTGTACTCAGCCATCTAAAATTCCTCTGGGTGCTCTGCCCTCATGCGTGCCATTTCTCTCACATCTAGCTCATTTTGAGGGGACTCATTCTTTGGGCCTAACTCAAGACACTCTACTGGAAGCTTTTCTTATGTCCCACATGTAATAAAGCATCCCACCTACACTATCCTATAGCACCGGTAATTATTCCTATTAGAATATTGATCTCACACTAGTGGGATAGATAAGTAAACAGAGTAGGAGTTCTTGGGAAAAGAGGAGAGTTGAAAGGGCCCTGCCTTATTCTTGCTGTCCTGAGCACTTGATTTAGTACCCTGTACACACTAAGTTGCTCATCTATTGAATAAGTGCATAAGCATAAGCATCTATTGAATAAATGAATTCACTAACAAAAATTCAGCAACTCTAAAAGTTGATGCTCTTTTCTTCTTTTTAATTAACTGTTAACAGGTATAAGAAAAAGAATGTTTTCATGCTCATGAGTTCCTACAACTTGTAATGAGTACTTAAGACTTAGTGAGTGTTTCTCTCATTGTATTCAACCCTCACAGTCTCCTGTGAGTTTGGGATTAACCTTATTCCCTATTTCATGTTCCAGTGAGATGTGATTTCCTAGGTGAGGGAGTCAGATAACACAATATAGCTCTATCCCCAGGTCCAGGGCCCTTTTAAAAAAAATCTTTGTTTGGGTATCAAACATCAGTCTTCTTTGATTCTATACACTCTGCCTTCCATCTATTCCTTTCCTGATGGCTGTTTCTATTGGCCAGTGTTCCTTTTTGAATTCAAGTTCTAATGGTATAGAAGAGGTATGGTAGTGAACAAATGTGGAAAAGCTCACCCACAAATTTATTACAGAAACTTGGTTCAGTAGTTGCTTCAGCAGTATAGGAGCTTGGTGTCAAAGAAAGTCAAAGATTGAAGAAATAGGAATATATTAACTTATAGTACTTTTGAGTAGAAATGGCCCACTAGAGGAGTTATTAACCTTTTAGCATAGTGTTTTGTGCTTTTGTTCGCATGATGTTGTATGAACATCCCAAACAGAGGAAGAAGCCAGCACATAACGGATATAGGCTATGGGTCATGAACTGGTTTTATGTTCTCCAGATCCTAAGAAGTAGTTATTTTGGATACATGAAGAAAATTCTGCTTCAGCAAATATTTTAGTCTATTCAAGTAGCTATAACAAACTATCAGAGAATAGGTGGCTTATTAACCACAGAAATTTATTTCTCACAGTTCTAGATACTGGGAACTCCAAGATTTAGTTCTGGAAGAGTTCACTTCCTCATAGATTATAATCACATGGAGTAAGTGGCAAGGGATCTCTGTTGAGTCTCTTCTATAAAGGCTTTAATTCAATTCCTGAGGGCTGTACCCTCATGACCTAATCACTTCCCAAATGCTTCCTCTGCTAATACCATCACCTTAGAAATTAGATTTCAATGAATGACTTGAGGAGAGGGGGCACAAATATTAGACCACAGCAGCAAGTCATCCAAATCACAGTTGGTAAGTGGCCGAGCTAGATTCAAAATCAGGGTTGTCTGGCTCTGAAGTGCTTTGCAACATGTGGCAGTCTGTGTTTAAATTTGGATCCTTAAGTTTACTAGGACCTGGGACCTTAGGAAGCCACTTAATCTCTCCAGGCCTCAGTTTTTCAGGTATTAAATGTGAATGCAACTCTTATAGAGTTGTTGTGCAAATTAAGGTAATATTCTATAGCATATAGTACTATAAGTAGTAAATATGACACAAATCTTAGCTCTTGTTTTCATTATTATTGCGACCATCAATACCATAACTTTGGGTCTCTCTGTTTGCCAATAGAGAAGGCTCTTTTGGGCCATCAGGTCATAGTGTTGCTTTTGAGGATACTAGCATTCTTTGGAATTTAACAGTCGGTCAAGGGTATTGGAGAGATGAAAGTATCCCTTGTCTGAAATGCTTGTGACCAGCAGTGTTTCAGGTTTCCTTTCAAGATTTTGGAATATTTGTCCGATTCACAATGTGATGTGTTGGGGATGGAACCCAAGTTGAAATACAAGACTCATGTTTCACATGTACCTTATACATACAACCTGAATATTATTTTATATAACATTATCAGTGTACTTGCATTTGGTCTGTGACCTGTCACATGAGGTAAGATGGAATTTCCCCCCAATAGCATCATGTTGGTGCTCAAAATTTTCATATTTTGCTGCATTTCAAATTTTTGGGTTAGGGATGCTCAACCTATATAGTTGAATTGTTGGCTGAATGATGAACAATTAATACAGCTAATTAGTAGAAGTAGTGTCACAGGAATTGCCTTATATATAGGGTTAATGTTTCCAGGGGAAGGCAGTAGCCTAAATAAGTGTGTTAGGAAATTCCAGTTAGGAACGATATCAAAAATATACTTGAATTGATTTAATAAATCTTATAGTAATATTAAAGGTTATGTATCACAACTGTGATATATATATATCTATGTCTACAACTGTGCTAAGCACTTTGTTATGCTATTTAATTTTCCTAATGACCTTAATGTATTGGACACTTTTATTATTTCAATGTTACAGATGAGACATCTGAAGTCACAAATGTTAATGTGACCAAGGTTTTCCACAGATAAGAGCAAACCCAGCATCCGAATCCATGCTCTACAACCCATGCGTCTTTCTTTTTCTCTTATCATACTTTTTAAAAAAATATTTAAAGATGGGCATATAAAACACAAAATTGTTTACATTAATGGGATACTTTGCAATGTTTTGATACATATGTACATTGTATAATGTTTAAATCACTTAAACATCTATCTCCTCAAGCATTTAGCATTTCTTTACAGTGAAAATTTCAAAATTCTTTCTCCTAGCTTTTCAAAATGTGCAATACATTACTGCTATCTGTAGTCACCCCACTGTGCAGCAGCACACAAGAACATCTTACTGCTATCTAAGATAATCTTGTTGTTTTTAAACTACTATCATGCATTCCTTTGCACACACCTGTACTGGAGACTCTTAGTGATCTGCTTACTACAAGTGAGTGATTTTGCGCATGACTTCAAGACTTTTGTCTTCGTTCATGTACATATTCTGTTTCCCTCACACAGACTCTCCAGGGCAGATAAAGGGCAAGAGCATTCTGCGATGGAGAGATAGCCTGACAGTTCAAGTTTTTCATGGGCAGTGTCATGGTTGAAGTCAGGACAGCTCGCAAACAGCTGGCTTTGCAACGTAGCCAGGCCAGACGTGCCCTAGTGCCACTTTACTATTTTCTGATAAGATAGATTTAATCAAAGCAACTAGAATTTAATTCAGGCCTTTAAGGATTCTATTTTGCCTAGAAATAATCATAGTAGTCCTGTTATTTGAGTGGAAGGCTATTGTGTCCTGAACTAACAATGTTTCAGTAGCATCTTTACCTAATCTTTCTTTCCTTTTTTTTACATTTATTTACTTAATGGTTTTCTAGCATCCTTCCTTTTTAGGCCTCATGTATCTATTAACATGGCCAAAGGATTCTGCACAGTCATTTGGCTTGTACTGAAAGATGAGAGGCCACAACTTATTCTTAAGAAATTAATTAGCTTTTTTCCTTAGTTAGTAATGATTTTTACAAGGAAGATTTATATTGTTTCATCTCAGAACTTGCAACACAAGACTTGAGGACAGACATCTTTAATACTTTCTGGATCCATCAACACTCCAGGAGATTTAATTTTTCTTTTTTTTTTTTAATTTAGGTTCACAGAAAATATTTTGGGACTTTTTCCAGGACACATAGACACAACACATATTGATCAATAAGAAAATTGTGACTGGGTTCCTTATCTAATAGCTGTGTCTTCTGGCGTCGGAGATAGGCAGTGAGGGTTCTGGGGTGGTGGCGGGGGTGGGGTGGGAGAAGGAAAGGCTAGTTTGTATCCTTACAAAAAGATGGATTTAGGAGGTGAGGGTCCTGGAGTAGAGGAGGAGGGAAGGTTAGTTTACATCCTTACAGAAATATGGATTTTTAATTATGGGAGAATTCACAGCTCATTAGTTTTTTTTCCAGTGGAACCAGTAAATAAACAGAGGTAGTGTGGAGTTTTCAAAGAACAGTTTAAATCAGGGGAAATTGTTGGGTACAACTAGGTGTATCTGAATCACGGTTATTAATTTTGGGATTGGATGCATTATTTCCTAATTTTTTCCTTCTCCTTTTCCTTCTCATTGTTACTGTTTATTGGCTGTTTAGTATTCATCAGGCATTTTTACTGAGCACATTACCTATGGTATCTTAATGTTTTCACGTGTGGGTAGTGCAGCTGTTATCTCTTGCTGACAAACAAGGAAATCAAGGCTCGTAAATGCTAAGTAACTTATCACAAGTCAACCAGGGAGAAAAGGTAGAGACAGAACACAACCATAAGTGTCTCTGTTCTAGACTTTGACCTCTCAACAACAACAATACTCCTTCCTCACTAAAATTCTGTTCTTCATCACCAGGGACAGGATGAGAACATCGGTCAATGTTGTGGGTGACTCTTTTGGGGCTGGGATTGTCTATCACCTCTCCAAGTCTGAGCTGGATACCATTGACTCCCAACATCGAGTGCATGAAGACATTGAGATGACGAAGACTCAATCCGTTTATGATGACATGAAGAACCATAGGGAAAGCAACTCTAATCAATGTGTCTATTCTGCACACAACTCTGTCATAGTAGATGAGTGCAAGGTACCTTTCCCATTCCTGGACATCGAGACCTGTATATAGTAGTGCATGCTCAATTTCTTAAAAAACACAAAGCCCTGCATCCATTGCTGTTACATTTTTGTAAAGTGTCATGTAACCCAAGCTTCTATGAGTCCCAGACCATCTTTCTCCATGTATAACATGGCAGGAAACCAACAGGTCTAACACTAAAACAGTCAGTCAGTTGCTTGGTTCATCTCCTTGATGTATAACAACCATTTTGCTTCCTGGATCCACTCTACTGCTCTAATTTGGTCGATTTTCTTGAGTATTTTGCTCAAGAATTTGTATTTTCAAATATCCTATTAACTCTTCTATTCTGTGTTTCAAATGAAACATTAAGAGATATACCTAGCAAATACCATTTAATTTATACAGTATTCCTCCTTGCTGTATATCACATACTGGTTAAAAAATGTTCCCACATAATTTTGATCAGTTATTTTTCCTCTTAATTATTTTTGTAGTAAGGGTAAATTTATCTGGCTTTTACTTTGCCTCAAAAATGGGGAGGCAATTTCAAGAATAATTATCCTTCAGAAAAGTTATCCAGAGAGTTTTAAAGAAAAAAAATTATAGCTCACACACTGCCTAGTGGTGCCATCATTTCTGCTGCATGGATGTTCTGGGTTCTCTTCCAAGCTATTGGGTGTCAAGTCTTCAAACACGATAGACTCTGGCTAGCTTTCACTGTAACTAACTTGACATTGTTAACGACAGAGTGTCATGACCAGAGTGAAGCAAACTTGGAGAAACCCTGACAGGTGAGCAGAGACAACTTGGGGTTGGTTTGCTAAAATGATTTCACGCAGCAGTAGAGGACAATCTGAACCCAACACAGAGGTCTGCTACCTTTTGAACTCGTGTTGATAAGCTTCCATTTCATTGTTAATTTCTTTCTGTGTTACATCTGGGTCATTATAAATACACATCATGGTTTCTGTAGGAAAGCTAAGGGTAACACAGTAGCAAATCTCTTTAATAGACTGTCTCATAGATCCAGAATTCTATGGATCAGACAGACTTTTGCTTGTCTTCTCTCCATTACATATATGTGCAGGTGAACCAGGGCTCTCATACAAATTAGGGAGGGAAACTATCCATCAAGAAGGCAATTGTATAAATTAACTGACTCAATGAAAATAATTTTATTTTTGAAAAATTCAGATGTACCTTCGTAATCATTCTCTTGGAAAGTTATTATTTTTCCCATCTGAGTGAATGCACTGGATTACTCCCCCATCAAAATATTAGTTTAGATCAACAAGAGTCAATGTGCTTATAGAATGGCTTTATACGCTATTAAATTTACCAAGTACTAATTGTATGCCTTGTAAGATTTAGCTGAGTGCCCCTACCTCATTCCAATGACATGCTATATTCTGATCATTCATCAAATATTTACTGAGTTCCCATTACTTACAATATCTTGAATTAGACATTGGAGCACAGCAAAAAGAATATGCAGCATTGTAGAGGAAAGAAGATTTGAACTCACACCATAGTCATACAAGGAAAAATAGTATGAGACAAAATGCATTTTAATTTCACAGTTGTTTGTAAAAATAGTCCTAGTGGTTAGTTGTCTGTGCACAGCCCTTTTAGGGCCTCAAGAGGTTTTACTTTTTAAAAAATATTGTGGAGAATGTGGTTACAAAAAGGAGGTGTATAGGCACAGAGACGTCTTTAGATTTCAGAGTTCTTCGATTTTTCTTTTCTTAAAGGAAATCAGGAGAAATTTGATTTATAGGTTTAAGCAAAATATTTCAAAGTCTAAAGGGAGATATTTATGAATTATCCCTATCACTTGGAAGCAAACTCACGAAGAGTGCAGTGGGACTTCCACTCCATTTGTCATTATCATGTCCTAGCTCTTAAAATAGTGTCTGGCATATTGCAGACACTCGATATTTGTTGAGTGTACCCTTTCAGCATCTTGATTGCATGCTATATTTCAGATGACCTTTCTGTAGGACAGTTTTGTAGGGATCATTGCTTAGTCTCTCTATAAAATTGACTAACCAACCTATCACCAGCAGATGTGTTGGTTAATTAGCATTTGAATGGCTCATGACCAAACTGAGCAGGTCTTGAAATGACGAAAATGGACTTCTTGGTGTAAAAACTCAGACATTTGCATTTTTAGTGAAGAGATTGGGTTCAGCTCAGTGAAGGTGAGTTCTCAGCCAACACAAGTTGGCCCTTCCCACTCTAGGTCAGTTACTTGTGTTGACAGTGATATGGAAAGAGGCAGCTATAGAGCAATGGGGATAAATGTATACCCTTTTTCACAATATTTATCCCTTTGAACTTCTTCCCAGGCAATTCTTAGTCTCAGGCCTTTCAGTTTTTTAAAACCAGCACAGACAATATCAATGCTTTCCTCTTTTGATTTTCTATTACCCAGGTGTTTGGACCAATGAGGAGTGGAATGGGTGGGAGACTAGAGTCACAGTTTTCTTCAGTTTGGTCAAGAAAGGAAATGCCCGAGAAATCTGCCCCAACTACATATGAAACATAGGCCCAGTATTTATAAACAAAACCCAAACATCTCCTCCAAGTGTTGTCTAATTCTTCCAAAGGCACCTCATTGTGATTGATAACTTTGCACTGCCGTTGATCTGATTCATCACTGAGAGCCAAATAAGCACATTCAAGATCATAATAAATAGGAAGCTTTCTCCAGACAGACAGTCTGTTCCTGGCAGTCTTCCTTGACAGTTCACTGAAGGGGAAACCAACTTGCTGTAGCTCTGGTCAAAACATTAACCACTTCAAGCATTGTTATGTCATGTTGATCGGTAGTTTCAAATTCTTGCCTGGTAATAGAAGTGTGAAGTTATGCAATAACTTTTTAATTTTAATATAAATTAGCCGCATGTGGAACAGTCATTGCTAATTGCATGTGCTTTCTAAAAGAGTGTGTGTGGGGGGGTGCTAATGGGAATTGGAGGAATGAATAGCTTTTATTTTCATTTGCTTGGTTTATGAAGGGCACTGGGTCTCTATTCCTAGCATGTTGCATGCTCACAATGCATGCATTTCACTACTTCCACTTGGGTAAGAGGAAGGTCCGATTTCTTTTAAACATTGCTGCGTTTGTCATGTCTCCATATTCTAATGCTTCCATAAATCCAGTCTCTCCATTATGTGGAATATCAGTCGTGGGTTTAAGTTTGCACATGACGTTGAGGACAGGCAGACAGAAGGTAAGCTAGGAAAACTACTTAGAAGTGGAGGAGAGAACCTTCCATTCTGCATAAGGGTTCAGTTTGCTTTGAGCCAGGAAACCATAGTATAGACTGTCTGGTAATTATAGCTGTACTAATTAAATGTCTGCTTTGACATAATTTGAATTACATTGTTACTGTTCTCAGTCTTTTCGTCTGTCCCCTCTTCCTTTTCTTTTTAATTTTTAAAGCCAAGATAGCTTATTTGGTAGAGCCAAACCATCATGAGTTCTGATTTTAAAATTGAGGTGTATGAAATTCACCTTTGTCTCATTGCAACTGAACCTTTTAGATGCATGAGTAGAACTAGCTGCCTACTTCTGGATTTTTTTTTCCTCTGTGGTTGTGTGGAGTAGCACTCACTATATTTTAAGGATGATGCCATAGTGTGATGAGTCTATGGGCAGTGAGATATCCCACAACCCTAAAAATATAGTAGAAGTTAGCTCCCAAATTACAAAGCATCTGTAATCCCTCAGGACCCTCAAGGCAAATATGGATAATTTAATTCTCAAATCACTGTTGAAGACCAACACAAGTTCAAAATTAACTTTGAAGGAGCTCCATTAAAAACTAATATGTTGGCCATGTATTATAACTCTAGATCTAGTGCTTCTCCACATAATCCATGGGCTTTTTTTCTGGTTTGTGGCCTGTAAGCTGGATGTTGATGATAATTATTTTCAGGTAACTCTGGCAGCCAATGGAAAGTCAGCTGACTGCAGTGTTGAGGAAGAGCCTTGGAAACGTGAAAAATAAGGAAATGACTCTCAGCAAATTCATGAATAAACTCCCCAGCATATCTTATGGTAAAAGATGCTATAAACAAGCTTTCTTTTTAAAAAAAGGAAAAATGCGTATATTTCTGTTTACTTAATCTGCTAGCTGAGGCTTAGAGGAGCTGTTGTGAGTACGTGATGACAGGCACGGTGCTGTGTCTTTGCCAAATAATGCTTCATAACCATCTAATTTTCTCACTTGTATTATTGTTTGAATGGATGCTGCTGGAGGAATCACTTTGAATTGAAGACACATTCTTGCCAGCTTCCTCTTCTGTCAGTACAGAATGGTGGATGCTCTTTCTCCCAGGAGACATGATGAAAGCAGCGTGGTACACTCCAGGGACTTGGGACAATGAGCACACATTTGGTGTGTTATTCCTTAAAGTGTTCATGTCTTGCCTTGTTACACACAAGAGATTCTGGTAGAAGTCTCTGGAAATGTAGAGTGTACGCCTGCATAAATTGAGAGCAATTATCTGGCTTAGGGAACTCTGACAACTCATCTTTTGTGTACTCTTCAAGATAAATATTTCAGAGCATTTTAGTGGGCCCCGTACTCTTAAAGGAAGCTAATTGTGGAGCCCCTCTGCATCCCCCTATCTAGACTATGTGAATGATGGTTGAAATTTCAAAGTATGTGTCTTAATTCTATCTGCATTGGAAAATTGATTAAGAAGTATTTTATGTATGACTACTGTATATATTGACAAAAATAAGGGAGCACAGTCAACATAAACATTCATCAGATTTACATATTCAAATTCACCTATGTTTGATTTGCATTCATCTGGTATAGTAAAATCAGGTGAGATTTTTCTGATCTATGTTTTGCTTTCTTTGCTTCATCCAAAAGTTTCTTATTTGAATTTCCAAGAAAAAAGATATTTTCAATCTCTAAATTATTTCCATTGTATTCTCATCCACCTTGATGGCCTGATCATGTTACCATCCTCACACATGGAGGACACTTGTGTTGGCTGTGCCTCTTTCCATACCACATGTTGATAAAAACAAACTGGTATTTATCTAATAGGTAGAAAACTTTCCGTTGTATCAAAGCACGTGAAAGCAGTTGCAGACCACAGTTGGAAGCAGAGCCAGTCTTCCTGCTCAGTGGGAAAGGGACAGAAAACAAACATCTGTGCAAAATCTATAAAGATGACCTTCCTATGGCAGAGTCCAGGCAGCCTTGAACCATTAGTGGGAACAAAGGATGGCTCTACACAACTTTCCAGCTGGAATCCTTTCTAAGGCCGTGAAAGTGTGGAGGAATAAATGTATAATTTGCATAGTACAGTGCCTTGAATATAGTAGGCAGCCAACAAATACTTAATGATTGGTTATGAAAACTAAATTTTTAATGTCTCTATTATTATTTTCTATTAAGTAATCCACAGTATTCTCTTCGTTTCTGGGTTTGGGAGTTGGCTGGGGACTTGAATCATGGAGAAATACAGCATATTCAACTCGAAAGAAGAGTAGGTAGAACCTGCCATAGGCAGGAGTAGGTGTGTCATCTAAGGTTGCAGAGATTCTCATGAGTAGCTATAGAATCCAAATTATCTGAAGGAAGGGTGTTTATACATATCATCTCTCCTCTTTACTCACACCTGTGACTTCTTTCTTCCAGATCAGACAGCTTTAGAACATACAAAAGACATGAATTTCAGTTGTTTTTGTCTCAAAAGCCCTAGTTATTTTTGAACAAGGATTTCTATTGAACAGTATTAAGCATATCTGTGTTTTGTTTTTTGTTTTGTTTTGAGACTGGATTTTGCTATAAAGTAGCCCAGGCTGGTCTCAAACTCACAATCCTCTTGCCTCAGCTTCCCAAGTGCTAGAATTATAAGCATGCACAACCATGGCAAGCTAGCCATGGTCTTCATTTTGTAAAAATGCCATTTGTCTTCATCTTCTTAGATGGACAGTTAACAGGGTAGCCAAGGATATGACCAAATCCAGTAGTTGCATTTACAATAGATAGGTGGGCCAATGGGTCAGTTCATGGGTTCAGCTGTGACTCTGTTTAGGATTGTCTTTAAATGATGCCCTTGTGAGCTTTTCTGTGGTGAATGGGAGGATCCAAACAAAGCATCTAGAAGCTTGTTGGTTTTTTCCTGTGGAAGGCCAACTTGGCATTTGTGTGTACCAACATGTTTCTCATAGGAATGGTCACAAGATCTGCCTGAAAACCTGGTTTGTTTTGTCTTCAGCTTTTCCCTAGCTATCCTGTTAACATAGAAACAGATAAAGGACAGTCTGTTCAGAAGAAACAAAGTGCATGGCTTCACATTGCAGGTTTTTCTGGTTTGAGACTATATGCAGTATCTCATGAGAATATTCTTAGGAGGTCACATTTATCTGGAAATTCAGCAAATCATATTTTTAAAAAAATAATTTATCAAATTCAGAACTAGCCCGAAAATCCAGGATGGGTGTGGAATTGACATATGATTGTGTCCTCTGGGATTTTTTTTAGTCTTCATTCATTCTTTCCATGCCATGCCCATTGGGGATTCCCTTGCCCAGAATACATGCCATAAACAGAACAGATGTATCCAGAGTATACCTCTAATAACCTTGATCTACATAAGATACCTGTCAATTATATGTGTAAATTTATCCTGAAAGGCCCCTCCTGGGTATGAATGCTTATATTGGTCCATTCATCTTTGATGATTCATGAATGCTACACACACACACACACACACACACACACACACAGCAGGTCAAGTAATACACCATATCCTGTAAAATGTGTAAGTCAGAGCTTTGGCAACACCATTTTTAATAAGCTCATTTGCTATTTTTAGGAATCAGAATAATTTCAGAAGAAAACCAAGTAAGTAGACTTTAATCCTTCCTTCTTTCCCTTTTTCAATCCTGCCCTTTGGGAAGCCCAAGTGGAATCATAATTTAACTATTTACTAAAATTTAAAAAATCCAACCCAGTCAGTAAAAAGAATGGTTTATCTTTTAAGATAATGCTTTACCTTATATTTTTGAGGGTGTCCCCTGACCCAATATAATATGCATCGAAGAATCCAGGCAACCATCGGATTTAAACACCCCAATCCCCAGCAAAGGCCTGCAGGTGATTTTAGGACCTTAGGCAACTATCAGATTCTGCTTTTTTTTCCTGTTGGGTATAGAAACACAGCCTGTGTTCTCATTGCCAACAGAAGTTACAATGCCTCATGAAAGACAAATATTTATTTCTTCTCTAGAATCACTAATAAGTCTGGATATTCACAAAAGCTTAAAGAAAGGGTGCCAAAACGCCTAGCCCCTGGATTTAGATCATGGAAGCTGAGAACAGCTTGGGAGAAATTTGGTCCATGGGGCAATGCTTGATAGGTGATGCCAGAAATTGTGGTGCCCAACAGATTCGGTCTCAGGTAACTTCTACTGTGCCTGGAAAAATGTGAACTTGCAAGTGTATCTAGTCAAGAGACCTTTTCAGAGTTGAGTGGTTGGGAAACTTTATCTACTGGGTCTCCAAAGGAAACCCATCCTGTCATGTTTTTGCAAATACCACACTTTCTTTTGTTCTCAATAGCAAAAGTTTGTTATAATTTTTTCGCTTTTGTCAGAAATCAAGGTTTCTGTCATTCAATATTCCCCATGACACATAACAATAAATCCAAGTAAGTATGCACTTGCTCAGAGATAATACTCTATGGTTCTGCTCTTAAGAAAGAAGTATGAGCAGCTCTTGTCCGGTTTAATGACTAAAAGTGCACAACAGTTACACCCCAGGGGAAATGGTTCTCCCCTCTTAACTACTCTCTCTCTCTTCTCTCTCTTTCTCAGGCCATCCAGTAGTCTGGGTTTTTGGTTATGCTTTGCAAAGTTTCCAACTGAATTCATTCCAAGCCAAGAAAAAGGACCAAATGAGATTTTTAGTTGTAGTACTTCCTCTTGAATAAGGACACTTGGACATAAACAGGGGCAATAAGAAGATGAAGTTAAAGTAGACAGTCTGAAGTGAAAGTTTTGTTAATCTACTTGCCAGAGAAGATTTGTGGTCTGGGTATCAGACCTAGAAGAGGGGTTACTGTGTGCTAGTCCAGGCAAGTGGCACTAGAGGCAGATGGTTCTCCTTGTTGGAGTGAGTTCAAAGTTGCTCATGAAATATCAGCTCATGATCTTCCCTAATGTCCCTCCCAATTTTCCACTTTTCTTCTTCCTTTCCTCTTATACCACTGCTTAAGAGACAACTTAGTAAACAACTATATAGGTTGGTGTGAGGGTTAGTTTTAGAACAGATAACAGGTAATCTTAATTGGATAATATCTAATTTTATAAGCCTAACACAACTCATCAGACAGTGATGCAAAAATGATGAGAAATGTAGTTTGGAAGAGGAAATATTTGATTTAGACTCTGCTCATTTGTAGCTATATGACTTACCCAAGCCACTTTCTGTCCAAGCTTCATTTTCTTCTATATGAAAAGAGAAGGGTTTGGATTAAATGATTGAAATCCCCTTCTGGTCCCACATATCTATGGTATTATAATCTTGCTTTATTCTTTTCTTCCTTAAGAGGTCTGCCACTGTAAAATATTATTCATTTATTTTTTAAGCCAGAGAGGCACACAATAATGAATAATCAATTTAAATTTTTTATGCCCTTTGGGAGAAATTAAATCCAAGCCTCTATTCATTTTATGGTTTACAAGCTTGGAAGGTGGTCATGTTAATCTTTAGTTTACTAGTTTTTGAGACACTAGTAAATATCCTTTTATAAAAGTTTCTTTTACCTAAACTCACTGTCCTCATACAAGTAGCAATTCAGCTCAGGGAAACATACTTCCAGAGTCACCATGAGGGACTGGACGTGTCACAGCTGCACTTGAATTCTTGCATCATTCCTGCTGTAGCAACAGAGCCCACTCTGAATACTCAAACCACATAATCTTCCCCAAACGGTTGTTATTGCCAACCCAGTATGGGAATTTGGGAGCCTTTGGCAAATAAACTTGAACACTTGTGAAATTTGGTGCAAGACTTACACAACCACAGCAACTGTCTGTAAAACCATTGCTCCTCTGT